CCCCCACCAGTTTTCCACTGGCCACTTCCAACGGAACACAGGACTACCAGAGATAACAACTTCCTGGGACAACAAGAAGAGAGATACCCTCCTCCAAGGGAAAGGTAGCAGAGGATTTATTCATTATTAGACAGCAGCGAATCCAAGCACAGGCTGCAGATGGGGATGGAAACTACCCACCGGGCTTGGGTTTTTCAAATTAATGATGGGACCAAGGGATAAAACCTACTCAGAGAGGATTCTGCCCAAAATTTCGCTTCAGCAGCACAATAGCCTGCCAGTTTGTGTACTTGAGTGTCTGAGGGGCCGACAGAAAAACGGATTTGGGTTAGTTTAAAAAAACCGCAGCATTTGAAGTGATTTTGAAAGGAACACGGGCTCTCAGGAACTTGGTCCCACAAAGCCACCTTCGGCTGCACGTTTCCTGGGCGGGGTTTTAGTGCACTCAGTGTGGCATGGGAAAGTGTAACAGCCCATTTCATCATGCCAGGATTTGAATGAGGAGCTTTTCTCCATCCTTGACAGCTTCCTAGAGATGGAACGGGACATGTTGCATCCCCATCATCATCGCCCTGTGTAGCTCTTTTTCCACAGATGGTCCTCTCTCCAGGATTTCGTACCACCACGTTACACCTTAGCAGGTTGCAAAAAGTTAAAACTGAAGTCAGAGAATAATAACAAAGAACATGTTTAAAAATGGTCTTTGATGCTCACTGGAGAGTGTTGCCCAACAGTGACACAAAAAACACTTTGGGAAGTCATGTAGAAAATCAGGTATTGGCTCAACCTGCACCAAATTCAGGTATGGAAAAAGAGCTGGTTTCCCTGGCTTCTGTCCCAGACGGGGACAAAGGAAAACAAATCACAGCGCTCCCCGGTGCTGCAGGATAAAGGGCCATTTAAAAGGTCACTGGGCAAACACAGGAGACCTGGAATAGCATGTTCGCTTTTACTCACCGCACCTCAAACCCTCTCAGACATGAAGGAGCCCAGGGAAGGTAAAAGCACGGCAGCATCCCCACAGCCAGCGTGAACGGTGCTGCAAGCAGCACCTACTAGCGAAGCCGGCTTCTGTGCAGATAAAAACATAAATAACACTTAGAAAAAGGAGGTTTATGATCCCTAAGGGAAAGCAGCATCACGTGTTGACAAGAAACACATTGCCACAACATGCCAACAGAGTGTTGGCCAGCTCTGAGCTTCCTGCATCCCTCCAAAGATGCAAGTTGGTTTTCCCACTTCTGGAGTCAACATCCATGAGAGTTCAGGAAGACGCAGAGATGGCCTCAGTTCCACCCAAATTCCCCTTCATTCTGCGCAGCTGGGGAGCAGGTTCTCTCTCCCCAGATTAACCACAGGCATGCCCAATGCAGCAGGTACTGCAGGTGGCTTTGCTTGCAGAGAAATAACAATCCCTGCCGCCCAAAAATTGCCGTTAGCACAGGAGAGGGAGAGGAACTGAGGCACGTGCTGAGCGCTGCCATGTCCCACGGGTGGGATGTTTCTCAGTAGGCATCTCTTAAGGGAATTCCTGCCAGATCCCATTTCCTACTCGTTAAACCGAGATCTACTCCAAGGCCTGCAGAGATGCTGGCAGCCCACCTTCAACCTCACCTCAGCAGTGACAAGCGTGATGGGAGAGGAGGCTGTCACTGTAGGTACTCAAAAACTGAGCCTTGATAAGCTTGTTACCCCTGCTTCCGAACTGCGTGAAGGATTAATACTGAAATTATTAATACTGAAATTGTTGAAAAACAATTAAATTCTGTGCTGAGGAGGGTAAGTCTGGCCAAGGGCTCTTAGGGAGCACAGGCTGGCTGGCACAAAGCCTCTGCTGCACCAGTGCCTTTCATTTTCTGAGGAAAATGGCAGAAATCCATGTCCATTTAAGAGAGCCCCTTTTCCTGTCCTCTCTCATTCCTACACCCGACTACCAAGGGGACACCTGGGATCCAGATCGGACGCAGGCAAGGCTGCTGTGAGGCGCCCGGGCATGTCCCAGCTTGCGGCATCTCCATCACCTCCGAGAGGGCCGCCTGGAGTCCAGCAAGGCTGGTTATGGACCTGCGGCCACATCAGACCACCCCCCAACATAAAAAATGCAGGAACCCTCACCAAAGCCTCAAGAGAACAGGAAGGAGCCTGACAAGGCAGATGCCGGTGCCAGGCAGCCCACTGCAGCTGAACCGTTGTGATACCGCAGGCTTGGCACCGCAGCCCGCACATTTCACATTGTTCCACCACCTTACATGGAATCAAGCCTCAGGAGACATCAAAACCCGCCCTAAGCAAGGCATTCATACAAACATGGGGTCTGTGCATTGAGAACATCCTAAGGCCGCTGCTTGGATAGGTACAGTCAACCCACAACGTGACTGTGATCTGAGAAACCAGCATGTCGGTCCAGATCACTCACTGTGGGTGTTTCAGAGCTTAAACAAATCCAGATCTCAAAGACCTCAGTTCAGAGCAGGAAAATATAGGAGAGCCCTGGGACAGGCAGAGTGGGGAGACAAGGATGTTGAAGGGTTTGCCACCCCACAAACACAGGGATGGGTGGCAGGGGAAGGCTGGGATGGGCCTCCCTGTTTTTGAAACATCTGCACTAGGGAGATGGAGCCAAGGACCATAAACAGGGACTTGTGATGTGCAGCCGGTGCCAGCAGACCCTGTGCTTCATGGAAATACATCTTTAGCCTCAAAAACCTAGGGGAGAAACAAGAATCCCCCAAAAGGCACGTTAGGATTCCTGTGCCAAGCACAGTCCCATGACATTCATCCCCAACCCTCCCCTACTGCTTCATTCTGACAGCTTCAGCAGAAGGAAATTCATATTTCACCTGTCAGTGTTCCTCCAGGATTTTTTCAGACATTGAGGAGCAAAGGGAAGCTGCACACCAGCCCCAGCGATCAGAAATACCCAATGCTCTGGCTGTTACATTAGTGTGAGCATCAGCTCACTCCTATTTTTAGCCATGTTCCTCATTCAATGTCTACTTCTGTCTCTAAGCGAACACTGCCACAGCTGCCAGCAGGCAGCTCGGCATAAATCCACTGTCACGGCAGCAGATTCCATTTTTGTCCGCCCCTGCTCCATGCACCCTCTCTCCCGTTTTAACACTCACGCCCTCGTTTTCTGCTGGAATGCAGCAAACCACAGTTTCAAGGAAAAAACTGCTGCAGAAGAGACACCTCGTCCACAAATATGCTTTGCAGGATGCTCCAGATGTGCGGAAGCCCTGGGACATACAAGATACCCATATTCCCTGCGCAGGGAGCTCGGTGCACCCTTGCCGGGATTGCATCTCTGGTGCCTGATACAAAACCCAACCAAACAGCACCACAACCCCACTCCCCAAACCACCACAGCGCTGTCAAAATTAAAGCCCAGAAGGTATGAGTCACTGTAAGCTTCGATAAGTTGGATTTTTATCCTGTCAATACGCTCATCCCAGTTGTCCTGATGAAGCAGCGCTGCTCTACCACGTGGGATTTTAGGATGTAGGAAGAGTGACTGGTACCAGCACACAGCGGTGTCACAGCCACCAGCTGCACTGCTGCTGTGACAATAAACCACATGCCAATTGAGCTTTGAAATAGGTGTAAACTGCATCAACTTACATATTTGGCCTGAAAATCCAAGTATCTGGCTTTTTCACTCAGAACAATGGTGAGCAAGTGATCAAGGACAGCCCCCAGCAGTAATTCTTTCTTGCCAGCCAAAGGAAGATGAACAAACACAAGACAAATGAGAGCTGGAAGGACTTACCAGATAAAGCAGGGTACTGCGCAAACAGGACTGGGCCCGGGCACTCCAAACACACTCTCATTCCTGCAGATTTCCCAAAAAAACAGCAAAAGCTTCCCCATAGCACAGCCCTCCTGGCATCCCTCTGCTCACAGGCACAGCCTCAGTGCAGGCATCCTCCTATCTATCCCAGGTCCCTCATCCACAGCACCCTATCCCACTGGCCCACCCCCTCACTCCCAATTTAAAGCCTTTTCTCCAGATTGGCCACCCCATGTCTTCTTGGCCAGGTGGATCCAGTTCTCCCAATCGCTCTCATAGGCTCCAGCTGCACAATCAGGCTCCCACCTGCAGTCCCCTCCACTCCTCCTGAAGCACTTCCCTCGCTGGTGGGATCAAGGAGACAAGCACCTGGGGTCCCCCATACCTTGCCCACCCCCAGGGGCCACAGATCCCTCTTGACCTGTGCGGGTGTCCCCTGCACAGCCACCCTTCCCCACACTGGCATGACAGCAGCCCAACAGCGTCAGCCAGGGAGGATGATGAGGGTGATGGAGGCACTGAAGGCCTGAGGACCATGCAGTGTGTAGGGCCCCAGCCCTGGGGCAATGATCACTGCCTTCCCCACTGCAAGGGCAGGCTGCTTCTGCTGCACTTTCCAATGTATTTACTGCCAAATACACTGCCAGGACAGCTAAAACACAGACTAGGTGTGGCATTAATTTGTCTTCTAGGGGCTAGTTCCAGTGTATTTACCTTCTATTATTGTCCCTCCCAAACAGTTTTTGGGAATAAAGGCTTACTTTGATGGCAAGTTCAACAGGTTGCAGTCAGTAGGACTTAGTGTTTCCAACTATCTTCATGATCAATGCGTATGTTACAGGATTACTGGAAAGATCAGTCAGGAATGGTTAGAGATGTCCCATTAAAGCAAGCAGATCTGCTGCCCTGGCATGTTAATACACTCGAGCAGGGTTTGTAGGAGCCTCAGAACCGTAGGTCTGGTGCTGCCGCCCAGCTCCTCAGCTCTCAGAGCGCTGGTGAGAGCTGCAGACTCCTGCACTGGCCCTGCACCTTTCCCTTTAACTGCTGGACATCAAGGACCATTAAAGGGAATCAGCTCCAGCACAGTGCTTTTGTTCAAACAAAAACCATCTCCAGCCAGTAATAGCAAAACTCTTCAAATACATTTATTTGTCACCAAAGAAAATCCTGTACAGTACTCACGAAACAAGGCAGGGCCATTGCTGCGTTAAGACTGGCTTTCATCAATGTCTTTGTCTGGATCTGCTTCTGCAGCTTCACTCTCCTGCTGCTGTTTCTTCCAGAGTTTAGCCATAGCAAGCAGTTTGAGATTAGGCTGATTGGCAGTATCTTCTGGGAAAATATAATCATAGTATTCCTCCCAGCCGGCATCAGACTAGGGAAAAAAAAAAAAAACCAAAAAAAAACACACCACCAAGCAAGCTTAATTTGCATGTCAACGTTCACCATCCGAAGAAGGTGCTGTTAACAAGAAGGTGCTGTTAACAAGCGGAGCAGCGAGACAACAACGGTAACATTGGTGTTCCTCAGCCCACCCACAGCCGCTGAGAAAGGGAGCACAGCAGGTGTGGGACAGCTCTGCAGTGCTACCTGGAGCTGGCTGGGTTTGTCCATGGTAGGAGTGTTTGGCCCAAGTATTTCCCCAGGATCTGCTGCCCCTCCCAGCCCGCTTGAAGAGCAAGGAGCGTGGCAGCACAGGGTTCAGGTCAACATGCCTTCCCCAGCTCCTGCAGTACAACCGCTATGAATGAACAGCCTCCACCATGGCCGACTGCTGTGTGTACCAGCCCCCAAGGGTTCACAGTAACTACCTGCATCGCTGTTCCTCTTACCCCATCTTCAGCCTGCAGTTTCCTCCTCTTCTTTATTTTCTCAGGCATAAGCTTATCTATCCTCTCCTTCGTGGTGTCGGTTCCAAACTCCCCTTCGAAGTTTCTCCAGGATTCCAGAAGCATGACTCTCTCTTCTTTCTCCTCACAGCTTCGCATCGCCTTATTAGCCTCTTCGTAAATCTGCCGGCAGCGCGACAGACTCCCCTCCCTCCTCGCGGACAGCTCAAACTGCGCAAAGCTGATCCAGACCTGTGGTGAAAGCAAACCAAACCCGAGCTCAAACCTCTGCTATGGAGTTCAATAGATCAGGAAACCTCCTGCAAAGCCTTCTCCCGTGCAAGATACGCCCGCTGTTACATGTCATTGCTGTTACATGTCATTCTGAAATGTCCCTTTTTCATGGCACAGGCATGGTACTGAGCACTGCTGATTTGGAGAAGTCAGACAATCCAAGCAGCCAAGGTTTCCGTCCGCCCCGGAGCAGACTGAAGACCAATTCTGTACTGTGGGTATCCCCACATACCTTCACGTGCTGTGTCCGCTGGAGCAACCTGCGGTACAGGTTTCTGGTTTTCTCAAACTCCTCCTGCTCAATTTCAAAGTCGATGTAGGATTTCCAAAGAACCTGCAGAAAGGAATGTTCACAGCACACTAAGATAACAGGGCAGAAGCCCGGATAAACAGGAAGCTTCCCTGAGGTTTTGGAGATCTGGGTATTTACTGACTGGACCAGTCAGGACTGCACTAAGCAACACCCCATCCTGTGCACACCACCCGTTTCGCTTGCTACTGTGAGCATGTTTCTCCCTCCACATTTTACCGTGGGTTTTACAGGCCCAGCACACACTGCCAAGACACAGATGCTACATTAATGAGACGCAGGCTCAGCCACTCTGGTAAGCAGCTGTGCCCAAGCTGAGAGATTATTCACATCGTAATTAGTCCCACTGCGTAATAAGTACCTGAAAATTGTGCCAAGAGTAAAGCTGACCTGCGCCCTTACCTCTGGCATGTCTAGCCGGGGCTGGCCAATGGCCAACTCGTATATCGCACGGGCTCTGTCGATGTCGCCAAGAATGGTCTCCAGTTCAGCAAACTTAATCCATGACGTACAGTTTTCCGGTGCAAACTCCAGGAATTTTTCATACAGCTTTCGGCAGCGATCAAACTCTCGCAACTGTAGCTCCAATTCAATATACCCTTTGAACAGCTTGTTTTTTGGACATTTACCTATGGACGTCCCCTGTCAAGCAAAATAAAGGATCACTTCAAGAAGACCCACTCCATTTTCTACACACCTGTTTACTTTTTGGTATTTGTTGGAGTAGAGTTTGGTTTTTAAGACTGGTCAGGGCCAGCATGAAATCCAACCAATGCCGGATGAAATGTGGATTAAGTAATTTAATATCAAATTCTGACATCTTTGTCGGTGACATGGA